GTTTCTGGAAATTTGAGTGCGTTATGCTCAAATCATTATTATCTGGTGCTGATTGAAGACAGAATTTGAACCATATATAATGACTCCTAGACCACAAAATACTAACAGATATTTTAGTTTTTCCTCAAGTACTAAAATTTAGAATTTGTTTGCTATAAGGAAATAAAATGAGAGTTGTTAAAAGAGATGAAACTGTGGAGATTTCTAAGGTAAGCATTGGAAGTCATAAATACCTGTAATTGGTATTTTAGTAACATATTGTAAAAAGTCTAAAAGCAATGTTTTTCTCTGTCTTTTCCCAACAGCCACCTTTCCAATATGACTGTGTGGTGCAGACTACAGGTGATACATGGCATATCCCCTATAAAGATGTTTTTGAGGAAAAATATTCATATGAAGTACCAAGAAAATGGCTCTGCATTCAACAGAAATAATGAAGAATGTAATTGCACAAGCTGAAGTTGCCTTTTTTTTCTAGTAATCACTGATGACTAGCAGAACTCAGCAGGACAATTATGTGATCAATATGTGAGGCCTGTAACTAAGGAAAATTCAGTGACTGCCTTTTGTCAAAATCATTCCTGCAGTAAATCTTTTAACATCAGTGGTGGTCTAGCGGGGATGAATTTGGTCCACTATTTCCATCTTTACAGGCAATTTCTGTCATTTGAATTAAAACTTGATTTTTCGTCTTGGATTTTCAGTTTGGGGGTTTTTTACCTTTTTCTTTTTTTTTTTTCTCATCCTTTTTATCTACAGTGAAATACATAAACTCTGTACTCCAAAGAAATTAAGCAGGATTTGCAAACTACCTTCAAAGTTTGTGGGGCTGACCTTACAACAGTGTTGCACAGTGTCTGCCTCTAATAAATAAAGCTAAGCGGGCAAATGGTATGTTTACCTCTTGCCAGGCACACATTAGACCTAATATTTCCTCACACTAATTAGAATTCATTTGACCACATAGAATGCAAAAGATTTGTCACAGCAACATGTATTAATATTTTATTTGGAAGAATAAGGAAACAACCAGTGAAATATTTTGTGGCTCTTTCACACTCTCAAATTTGCTGCTTCTGACAGGATTTCGTGTCACTGCATTAGTTTGCATAAGGGAATGCACGGATTTTTTAAATGAAAGTTGATAACTAGAAATTCTTAAAGGCAATTATATGACAAAACTGATTTTTGTAGAGACATTTCTATAAAACTTATCCCAAGTTATAAAGCAAGAAAAACAGTATAAATTACAAGAGAAGTGTTCTAAGTTATTATTTTTAAGTGTATGTATGGTAAACATGTTTGTTTATTGCACTTAAAACTTTAATGCAAGCCTTCTTCTCCCCAAAACATAGAAATGCCACATAAATCTCAGATGAAATATCATGTTTTTGTCACATTTGTCTTGCACACTCAAAAATCCTCTGAAACTGAGATGTTCTTTTTGTATAGTACTTGCATTTCTGAGCTCTTGCAGTGCCCCATGACAAACTCCCTTAGGATTCTTAGCATTCTAACACTTGCTGTACTTCTAGTATTGGCTTGTAAACCAGCAGGTGTGATTTCCATATAGTCACGTCCTTCAGATTCTATGCAGAGAGTGTAGAGGAGCTGGGTGCCTACTAAGGTAACATAGAACCTTAGTTTTGATTTCATTATTGCTAGTGTTCCTCACAGTCACCTTTTCTTGCAGAATACGACAGCTCCTATGGATCCTCCAGGAAAAGCAGAGAGATTGGATCTACTTCTCTCATTCCTCAATATTTTTGTCAGAAGATTGTTTTTACAATTCTGTAAGTCAGAGAACTGCCACATTTTGAAAGTGCAAATTCTGCTTTAAACTAAGTATCTGCTCCTGTACAGGACCACTTAGCAGCTGCTACTCTGTACGAGGCTCCCTTACTCTCTGTATGAAATTCCACAGCAGCATAAGCTGGTGTGAATCAGTGCTGTCACAGTCCTCATTTGGTACTAGCTCTGAAGCAATTTAGAGCTGGGTTGTCTGAATGCAAACCCCTTACAAAATTTGCTCTGGCTAGGTCTAAATCGGCCTTGTTGCACTGAACTAGCACCAGAGCACAAGTGCTCGTACCTATGTGGGAGTGGGGCTGAAACATCAGGCTGCAGAAGGTGGGTCCCAGAAACTGGACCTTACGGTTATCCATTTCATTGCCAGGCATGTTCATCTGTTGCAATTTGTGTTTTACCTCACCCTGATCATTAACAGACATGCGTAAGATCAACATCTAACTGGAATACATGCATCTTCTACTTCCTTTTGGCTGAGGACAGGTCCCTAATCAGTCATTTGGGTTTTACCTCAGAAAGTGTTCTTACAGAAATATCGTAAGGCCTTCTAAATAAGAACACTTTCTAAATACACAGTATTAATGTACTTAGGAGACAGTGGAAAAGAATCTGGAATTTACAACTGGAAGGTGTTACAACATAAGTGTCAGATTTGTGCCTTTTTGTTTTCCAGTATTTGCTGCTAATACACTTCTTTGTAGATCTTTACAGGGAATTAATGACTGCCTCTCTAGAACCAAAGAAGAAACATTAGTGATGAACCTACAGACTTTTTTATTTGTATGCTACCTCTTATATAGAGGCACACGGTCTCCAGAGGCTCAGTTCTGAGATTATTTATTTGTATGTTATTTAAGACATTTATGAAATAACATTTGTGTTGCTGTAAGTCTTCAAATTTCTGATTACTGAAACAGGGCATTTCAGGATAACAATGAATATGAGGATTTTCTTCTTGAGTATGTGGAGGGAATTCTGAGGGCTTCATTGGCAATAAATGTGAGCGCCAAACCAAAGCATACCAACATCTACCAGCAGATCTATTTGACATCTCCTGCTGTTTATACAGTGGTACAGTAAAAATTCAAGGTAGTTTATATTAGAGAGGTGGTTCGTGCTGAATGCCAGAGAGGCGAGTCTTGAGAACAGTGCAGGAATTGTTACCCCCAGAAGGACGCTGACTGCCATATGCTAGCACACAGAGTGGGGAGAACAGGAATCAGAAGGAATGAGCCCTTAGCTTTGTGTGCTGCATGCCATGGAGATAGAGACACGTTGGCAGGATAGAGTTGAGGAAGACTGAACTGATTCAGCCTGTTCTCCTGCTCTTTTGTGAATGACTTCATCTCCAAGATCACCCACATACTGCTAATACATTAAAAAGATGTCAGTGAAATCAGTCTTCCTCAGGATCCAGCAACATGGAATTTGACTCTCGTATGGCTGATCAGAGGTGATGAACAGTAAACCAAAACCACGTGATTGCTCTTCTGAAACAATGATGTACTTTGGAATCTGACAAAATTGCTGTGTAGATGGAGCAAACTTCTGGAAGCTGCATCCTGAAAGTATCATAACTTCCACTCCATCATGTACATGGTATTGAGCAACTGTTACTCTTCTCTGGTCTAATTCAAATATGAAATCTTTGATTCCTTACTTTTTGGCCAGTCAGGCTGAATGTTTGATACTTACTTCCATTTTCCCATGCCCTTTTTCTTAAGGGAAAAAAAATCAGACATTAAACTCTAGTGTTAAAGAATGGTAGAGCTTTGTACATGGAAGAATTGTGAGAGTAGGGATCATCATCTTGGAGAAACAGTGTTCTCTGGAGACACAGAGGTCGTAAGAATCATTAGTGTTCTGGAGGAGATGCCTAGGGAATGGTTGCTTGCTGTGTCTTCCAGTACAAAAGTGGCATCAAATGGTACTGGTAGACAGAAGGTTCTGATGAAATTGTAAGTTTTAGACAAAACCACACAATGTGTTGTTACACTGAGCAGCTCTTTGCCACGGCATGTCATGCATTCAAGAAGTTCACGTGAGTTCAAGGGGAGACCAGCAAGTTCATGAAAGGGAACCAGCAAGGGTTACTAAATAACCAGACACTATCCCTGCCTTGGGAAGTCCCTCCAGATGGTTGGAGACTGGGAGAGGATTGTATCATTAAAGGCGTGCTCTGTAGTCCTAATACTTTTCCTTGTGCATCCCCTTTTGGCCACAATTGGAGACACAGTTATTGGGCCAGACTCGTGTCTGACGCAGCAGACACAGTTGTACATTTTCATGTTGTGTTCCAGTGCTTGCATCTCACCTTTAAACGTTTCATGTCTGCCCACAAAGTGTCTCCCTAAAGAAAGGGACAAACTCTGGATCTTGTAATATGTAGTAAGACATTTTCCCTTCCCATGGCATTAATAAGCTAAGAAAAGTATTCTGAAAAATTTGAGAGTGCAGACTTATTGTGTAGTATGCACAAAATGCACTTGTGATCTGCTTTTTGAACTAAGAGCAAGCTCATCTAATATTAATTTTACAGTGGAAGTGTGGATACCAAAACACAGCTTGTCCATCTCTTAATAACCAACTTTTAAAAATATGCCTTCCCACAGAGTGTGGGGGAAATCCAACATGATGAAAGGCAAAAAAGAGCATACATTCACGAGTTTAAATTTGGGGAATTTCCCTTTGTACTGGACACCGATAAAAAGTATTTCACATTATAACGCAGCTGCAGGAACAATTACTTATATTATGAGTACCTTAAGCATGTTTTTTGAGGTATTTGCTTTAAAATTATACTCATTAAAGAGAGGCCGTGGAATTATTTACTTTGGAAAATTAGGAGGGGTTTTGTTTTCCTGGCTGGCTGGTGATGCTTTTATGCCGTTTTCCGCCGTTTCCGTGCACATTCCCTAAGGCACGTCCGACGGGATTTTGGGTTTCCATGAGTCAGTAACCACCCGGTCAGCCCGGCAGCCCAGGGTTTTCCCCGCCCCGCACTGCCCCTCCCCCCGCGCTGCAGCGGCCCTGCTGCAGTGACTCTGCATTTCGCTCGCGACGCGCGTGACATATCGCGACAGAGCGGCGCGCGGCGGCCGGGAGGCGCGAGCATGCGCAGCGCCGCGGGTGCAGAATGACGGTGCGCGAGCGGCGCCCGCCTCGGCGCCTGCGCGGGGAGGGAGGGTGCGCGTGCCCCGGAAGCGGTCGGGCGGGCCCTGCACGCGCACAGCTGCCCGGGCCGCGCGCCGCTCCCGCGCCGCTCCCGCCATGTCGCGCGGCTCGAGCGCCGGGTTCGACCGGCACATCACCATCTTCTCGCCCGAGGGACGCCTCTACCAAGTGGGTGCGTGTCCGCCCCGCCGCCGCGGCACCGCCCCGCCACCGCCCCGGCCTGCGCAGCGCGGCGCCCGCCGCCTCGGGGAAGCGCCGCCGAGCCCGGCGGCCCGTGCGGAGCGGGGCGCGGCGCCTCCCTTGCCTCGGCAGTCTCGGCTCCCGCCCGGCCTGGTCCCGCGGGGGGCGGAGGAAAGCCCGGTGGGCGCCTGGAGCTGCGGCGGTCCCGGCCGTGCCGGCCTGGGGACCTGGGAAAGGGATGCTCGCATGACATAAGGAAAACTTAGGGCCAGGGTGGGCTCCCTCGAGTGTCCCCTGCCATGGGAGGGACCTCCTGTGGGTTCCTGGTGTTCGATTTCAGATGCTTGGAGACCAAGATTGCAGCTATCCAGAGGCTGTTTATTGCTCCTTAAGTGTTTCTTGTGAGTCTTGCCAAGCCTGGGAGCATTGCTTTTGGAATCTGAGAACTACGATAGCTGTTTGAGGACTGCCTCAAACCCTGCATGCCAGAGTGACAAAGTCAGTTTTTGGATGTAACCCGTGCGCTTCCTTGTTACACCTGAATGCCGTGTGTTCTGTAAGTCGTGGCCTGTGAGGTAGCAGCACTCATCTTTTATTTTCAGGCTCCTTTGAACAATCTGCAACAAAGCTGCAGCCTTGCTTCAGCTTCTTCCCTACCCCAGCTTTGTTCCTGTTTTTACAGTGCACCGGTTTGTATGGAAGCACATCATGGTGCTTCTTGTGCAGGACTCAGGAACAGCGCAGTCAGCTCCCAGCCTGGCAGGACAGTTGGCTGAGAGGGTTCTTGGAGCGTCCATAGAACAGGGACAGATGAATTGTTTTGCAGCGTCATCCTGATGCCATCTTCCCCTGGAGCTTAGTGGCTCTTCCCCAGCTGCAGTGGCTTCATTGCACATTCATTGCATGGCATGTCCGTACATCCATCTGTTCTCCAGGAAAGGAGGTTGCTGGCATCAGGCTGCATGAATTGTCTGTCATAGCCATTAGTTTCTTTGAGTTTTTCTCAGGAAGAGGCCTATGTGGATTAGGCTTCATGAACAGGCGGCTCAGTCTTGAGCAATCCTTTCTCCAGGGAGGAGCAAGGAAAGCGCCTGTGTGTGGGTGTCTGTACACAGGCAGAAAGTTACCCATATGAGATACCTTCGTAGGGGTACTGTTTTGTATCTGGATCAAGTGTAATGCATTATACGTGCAGATGGTAGGGACAGTGCTTCCTCACACAGGGTGTCAGTGGTTCTGTGATAGGAGAGTTATGGGTTCCAACCTTCTGTCACCATTAAAAGGGGCTGGTAGGTCTGCGTCACTTTTCTGTCTGTCTCTGTCACAGTGCTACTTGTTGGGAATGGTTTCTGCATTCTGTAGTAGAGAGGAAACTGAGCCTTGGTTTTCTACCTCCTGGGTATATTCAGCCATTAGGTTAATGTATGACAAATATGTAGTACTTCCATACCTTTTAACAGTGTCTTAGAAGCGAGTATCTGCATGTGTATTTGAGAGTTTCTGCACACAGCCTGAAGCTGTCTTAAAGATGTTTTAAGTACCTATATGCTATAGGAAGAAAAATATGTAGATGTGCATAGTTACCTTTAGGCAAGAGTGAGCTCACTTTACCTGCAGCCAGGCTAGTAGCTTGGGCATGGTGCCTCCTGGGTGTCTCTGTTTGCCAGCATCTACCCACAGCATGAGCAGAAACCTCATGTTTGCTTGTGATCAAATATCCAAATTTAGCTATTTTTCTTTTATCCTTGTCCTTGTGCTGCATTCAGATTAACTAGGGGCTGTCAAGGATGAGCATGGACATGTGTTGCTTTAAGGTTGCCATAAGACTTGAGGTTTTTCTGGAATTTGGCAGTACAGGAACAGAGATTTTCAGCATAGTGATACTGGACTGAAATGCATGTGCTTTGTCTTAGGCCTATCTTCTACTTCCAAAGCTCAAAAAATTCATGTGCCGTTGAAGTGAAATATGAGAAAAATAATAGTTGTTACTGTAGTTAAAATCCCTGAGAACATCAGTGTTCTCTTGCTACTTAGTAGTTCCAGTCTTCAAAGGTGATGTTTCTTCTAAGCAGAGTTCTGGCGGGTGCAGAAAAATTTCTGTCTGTTGTGATATATTCAGGGAACAGCAAGGGGCTGCTGTTCTCAGAGAGAACATATGCAGTGCTACTGAAGTACTTACACAGAAGTAAACAGACTTAAAACACCACTAGCAACTTGGATTTGTTACACTGTAAGAGCCACTTCACCTTTTGGCTTGTCTCTTTGAAAGCTGAGCAGTGGAGATGGTAATAGGACCAGTACCAGAAGGGACTGCAATTCAGCAAGCCTGGTTGCCAGTACTTGTACTTGTGAGCAAAAACTAATTTGTGAGGGCACCTGTTCCTGCTGCCACCTAAGTGTCACAGAACCACAGAATAGCTGAGGTTGGATGGGACCTTTGGAGATTATCTGGTTTAACCCCCTGCTCAAGCAGGCCCACCTACAGCTGGTGGTCCAGGACCATGTCCAGACAGGTTCTGAATAGTACAGGCAACCTGTGCCAGTGCTCAGTCACCATCACAGGCAAAAAGTGGTTTTAGGTGTTCAGTTTGTTCCAGCCTCTGATTCAGTCCTGTCACTGGGCATTGCTGAAAATAGTCTGGCTCTGTCCATTTGCTTTATACCCTGCCTTCAGGTGTTTGTACACATGAATGAACAAGTGTTGCAGAGCAGGGGTGGGGGGCTTCAAATGTGACCAGTCTGTGGGCAGTGCTGGCTCATGTCTCGCTGGGTTCTGGGCCTCACTGCAGGCTGGCACTGATCCTCCCAGGGGAGGGGAGTGAAAAGGTGAGCCGAGCTGTGCATCTAGCAGAGGAGAAGGGGGAACATCCTTTATGGCATGTTTGGGTAAACAGTAAATGCTCTTATGTCTGAGAGTAATACAGTGCCATAAATACCTGACAGCCCTTCCTCAACACTGACTCAGCAGATTGAACATTAAGATCCCAGTATTGCAGGATTTGGTTTTTTCATCTTCAGATTATTACTCTTCTGTTTTACACTCTCTTCCATAGATCCAAATGCAGCTTTTAAAACCGCCGAGTTTCTTGCTCCCTTATTTTATACGATAGTTTTGGCAATTTACTCTGCTGTTTGTAGGCATGTTCTAAATTGTGGTTTCACGTACATAGCTAACAGAAAACTCACCCACATTTAGCTGCTGCCTGAGACTTGCCTTTCTTAGCCAGATATTAAAAAGTTATGAATTTTTATTGTATGTTGTTAAATAAACAGTTTAAGTTGTTTCATGGATCATTCAGGTAAATCCTAATCCATTGTACTTATGTGAATAATGCTGTTTAGTTGTCGTCTGTGTAGATTTCATTCTAAAAAGTGAATAAAGCATTACAGTATTCGAATGTCAAGTCAGAAAATGTGATAGTAACGCTAAACTTAATCTCCTGTGCCTGGTCAATCATATCAGTTTTCATCTATATCAGTTAAGAACTAGAAAATAAATTTATACCCTTGCAATGGTAGCAATGCTTAAAATACTAAACTTCACATCAAAAATTCTTCTATAAGAATTCATGGTTACTGTAGGTTATGGTGAAACCATGTATCAGAACAGCCTTTTTGTTTTAAAACATATTCTGTTGCTGTTAAGATTGAACAGAACAAAAAAGCAAATTGTAGGAAATATTTGAAGGAAGCAGTGACAGTGGTTTTGTGAAGAGAATCAATGACTTTCAATACCTGTCAAAAAGTTCTTGTGCACATTGTACTAAAGACCTGAAGGACACAAAGTGTTGCACAAGTATTGAAATATTAAAAAGGCCGCAACTTGGCAAGATTCCTGGGTGGGGGGAAGATGTGTCAGAGTTAGTTGTACTAGTATCTCTGACACAGGTTTTTCATTAACACTTATATGTTTTTCTAGAATATGCATTTAAGGCCATAAACCAAGGTGGACTTACTTCTGTAGCTGTTCGTGGGAAGGATTCTGCAGTAATTGTAACACAGAAGAAAGTACCTGTAAGTAGTCTGGTTTTGAGGGGTGGTCTGGCAGGAGAGTAGAAAAAAGGTGGGAGTGAAACTCTGCAATGTTGGTATTATATTTATTAGCAATGACATACATTGCTGCTTGAATTGAATATCTAATTATCCTGCTTATTACAAGTTCTAGCTCCGTTTAGTACTCAGCTGTGAATTTCCTTACCAAGTACTGCAATATTGGTTTCCTTTGTAGTTGTTGAAGGGATAAAGCTGAAATATAAAGTTAATTCTGCTGTACTTTAGCATGCATACATTGCTCTGGCTTGTAAGGGCTGAGTTGCCCGTAATCAGTTCCCTGATTTCTTTAATTGCTACTGAGAAAATGTTATACCATGCATGCAGAACAGGTTTTCATGAGTGTTTCAGCTCCTTGATGATGTATTGTTGACAAAAGTGGAAAACTTTTGTGTCTAAAGGGGGACAGCATGCAATAAGAGAGCAAGTTTTTGCATGTGGGTTCTGAAAGTTTCTTCAGAGGGAAAAGGACTGTGATGTAGATCATGTTCTTGCTGTCCTTCTTTTCCGGATATTGCAGTTTTAATCTTCCCTGTTCTCCCATTTCTTGCCTTGCATGCCTACAGCAGTAAATGGTAGAGAGCCTGAAAAACAATTTTTGGCTGTTAGTGGGTCCTTAGTGGGTCCTTTGGACTCTTCTGTAGAAATCAGAGCATCAGAGTCTGTCTTTTTTTTTTTTTTTTTTTTTACTTCAAGGATACTGTTTCGTATTAGGTTTCTCTGTTTCCTCTTTAGGACAAGTTACTGGATTCCAACACAGTGACTCATTTATTCAAAATTACTGAAAATATTGGCTGTGTGATGACAGGAATGACAGGTATTTATTGACCATCTTCTTTAAGTATCTAAAACGTGTCAGATTTTTTATGCAGTTCACTAGCTTTGCATCATATAATACCAATAAATGCTCTAGGAGATTTGTTCCACTCAGTCTAGCCTTGGAGAACTTACCTGGTTCTAATGGGTGTATTTAAAGACAATTTGAAGTTGGATCTGGAATTTGCATTCTCAGGCAGTGCTGGAAATAAACTTGGTACATGTTCAGTGAAATTACCATTGCTTCTTTCTGTCTAGCTGACAGCAGATCCCAGGTGCAGAGAGCCCGCTATGAGGCTGCTAACTGGAAGTACAAGTATGGCTATGACATCCCTGTGGATATGCTGTGTAAAAGGATTGCAGATATTTCTCAGGTCTATACGCAGAACGCTGAAATGAGGCCCCTTGGTTGCTGTAAGTATAGCGTATGAAATTCATCTCTTCTGTTTCTCATCTAAGCTTGCAACTTCACATGTAAGAAATTCTCACCTATTTTCAAAATGGGCAGCTGAAGGAGTAAGAGGGATGGACAGCCAAATGAGAGAACAGCTTTGGAAGTTTTGAATTGGAGCCATGATTTTACCACTGACTCAGCATTTGAAATGCTTGGCCTCTTTAAAATGTGTGATACTGTTTCACTTTAGTTTTTGGGTTCTTGTCTGCTTGCACTGCACAGTGAGGTCTGTGAGTGCGAAATGCTCTTTTTAATGGTGTCTGGTTGTGGTGGTTTGACTTTGGCTGTATGTCAGGTGTCCACCAAAGCCTCTCCATCACTCTCCTCTTCAGCTGGATGGGAGGGAGAAGAAATACCATGAAAGGCAAGATAAGGGCAGGGAGAGATCGCTCACCAGTTACTGTCATGGGCAAAACAGACTCAACTTGGGGAAATTAATTTATTACTGAGCAAAACCTTGCTTCCCAGGTTTAACTTTATTCCAGATTCTCTACCTCCCTTCAGGCACAGGGGGACAGGAAGGTGGGTAGTAGTCAGTTTATTGCACATTGTTTCTGCTGCCGCTTCCTCCTTAGGGGGAGGTCTCCTCACACTCTTCCACTGCTCCAATGTAGGGTCCTTTCCAAGGGAGACAGTCCTCCATTAACTTCTCCTGAGTGAGTCCTTCCCATAGGCTGCAGTTCTTCACAAAGTGCTTCAGCATGGGTCCCTTACATGGGGTGCAGTCCTTCAGGAACAGACTGCTCCGGCATGGGTTGCTCTCTCCACAGGGCCACAGGTCCTGCCAGGTGCCTGCCCCAGTGCAGGCTTCCCATGGGGTCACAGCCTCCTTCAGGCATCTACCTCCTCCAGCATAGGGTCCTCCAGGGACTGCAGGTGGATCTCGATGGGCTGCAGGGGCACAGCTGCCTCACCATGGTCTTCACAGGAACCTCTGCTCTGGTGGCTCCTCCTGTTCCTTTTTCACTGGCCTAAGTGTCTGCAGGGTTGTTCCTCTCTCCTATTCTCACTCTATTCTGTTTGCATTTGCTTCTGATAAATAACCTTTTTTTAACTTCTTAAATACATTATCCCAGAGGTGCTGCCACTGTTGTTGATGGGCTCAGCCTTGGCCTGAGGTGGGTCCATCTCGGAGCTGGCTGGCATTAGCTCTCTTGGACATGGGGAAAGTTTCTAGAAGCTCCTCACAGAAGCCGCCTCTGTAGTCCCCTCCCTACCAAAACCTTGCCATGCAAGCCCAATACACTGTGTCTGGGTAAACACTGCTGTTAATACAGACAAATGGAGAGTGCAATTATGCTTGTGCAGATTTTGTGGCGGTTTTATCTAAGTAGTATGTATAGGACAGATCTCCATTATTTTGCTCTTAACTTAACAATCATCTATATAATGTAGAGAAGAAATGCTAAAAAATATTTCCCTTGCAAATATTTCTACAGCTTGTTTTATAACAGCAAATGCAGCTTAAGTTTTAAAAAAAGTTGTGTGAAAAGTCATATCTTTGTAGATATTCATGGCCATCTGTGTGTTCTGAGGTTGGTTCTGACTTGTTTTTTCTCTTATGTTTGGCTGTAAGCAAATTATAACTGTACTCACAGGGTGTTCGGGAACTGAGGTAAAAGACTTAAAAGGTTTCCTCAACTACTTTTTCATTAGCCATTCTGTCTGGGTTTCTTTTTGATTGGTTGGGTTTTGCCAGGTTTTTTTTCTTTTAAGGAGAACAGTTTCAGAATTGATGAATCACTTCTCATAATCATAGTAGGCACTACAACTTCTCAGTAGAGAAGCAACATTCAAAGTTGCATCACATTTTCCATGATGGGGCAATTTTCCTATGCTTGTAATTTTCAGGAATGATTGTTTTTTTCTTCCCTTGGCATTTCCCGTGCCTTGATAATACTGGAAATTTCATTTTTAAAATATACATGAATAAAAATGTATTTCTCTTGACTTCCCTTAGTCTTTTTTTAAAATATGAAGGGATTTTTTTTCTATTGTAGTAATATCTGCTCAGGAGCTTATCAACTCTAACTATTAGTTAAAAGTTACACAAGTGTGAAGTGAAAATAACTGAAAACCTTGACCTTGTTCTGGTTTGGTTTTTTATTGCAAATATTTCTTTTGACTTATTTTTTAATATGCATATTGAGACAATACAGCCGTAAATCAAGAAGTGAGAGTGAACGCATGCATTTCAGTGATGTGATCAGCTTGTGTTACTTGAAATCTATCCAACTTAAACTTGGTCAAATGATCTTCAGAGACTCAGTTATGTCCTGATTTTTCCACATTTCATTTCAGATTCTTTTTTTCTTTAAAGAAAGGAGGAAAAGGTATATGATGCTTTTCAGTGCTTTTCAGGATTACAAACAAGAAATGTAAATTTGATCTTTTAATATTTCCATTAGTTTCAGCATGTTTGTATAGTTGCATTCTAGTAGAAAGCACATGGTAATGGCACTATTATTTACAGTTTTGTGTCGTATAACACAGGATGTGAGCTGTGGCTAGGCTAACTTTGTATCATGATTAAACTTTTGTATTTCCTGACTTTGTGGTTCTTTACACACTGAGCATGGGAAAAATGTGTTTTTAATGAGTAGCCTTCCTTGGGAATCACGGAAATACAGTTTGTGCTAAACTGAGTCACACCTGGTAATGAGATGCTCACTCAAGAAATGGCAAATTAAAGAGGAAATCGCAGCTCCGGGTCTGGGACTGATTCCCAAAAATGTACTGCTGTGCATGCACGTTTTTTCACAGGAGTATCCACTCTGTTCTTGAATTGAATTGATAAAATTGGGAAATAAAAAGATTAACAACTTTTGTCTTCAAGGTATGATTTTGATTGGTATTGATGAAGAACACGGCCCTCAGGTATACAAGTGTGATCCAGCAGGTTACTACTGTGGATTCAAGGCCACAGCTGCAGGAGTTAAACAGACAGAGTCAACCAGTTTTCTTGAAAAGAAAGTAAAGAAGAAATTTGACTGGACATATGAACAAACAGTAGAGGTAGGCCAGAAGAAGGAAATAAAGATATGTTAAAGTATTTTTAACAAATGTGCTGCATGTAGGCTTGCAATATAGAGAAATGCAGGTAGGCATTTCCGCTTTCCTTGCAGTTCCGTGTTCTGCCATAGCAAGAATAGCTATTCTAACCAGAAAATCTTTTGAAGGTATTCTGAAAATGTTTAAATAGTCATCTAATCTGCTTTTTCTGCTTTAAGTTAGCTGAAGAAGATTCTGTAATTGTAGTGCTCCTGTTGTAGATTGGTTACTGTGGTTGGTTACTACAGTGCTTGGTTTTGGGAATACCAGTATGACTTACTTTTACTCGCATTTAAAACAATCTTCATATTAGAAGGCATTTCAGAGAGGATCTTTGCATGATAGAAGATTGGTTTTGTTGTGTGTTTTTTCTGCTATGAAAATGACTTGTCCCTTTGCTTTTTGTAGATTGGTCCTTTTAGGGAGAGGAGTGGAGAGGTACTGTGTTCTGTAGCAAGGAAAAATTATTTGGAACTTCTAAGCTGAGGTTTTGAAGTGAAAGGAAATTAATTTAAACTAGAAGGAAGGGTAGTTGTTAATGCTATATCTATTTAAAAAAACCCTTAGTGCTTTCTTTTTAATGATGAGGGCTTTTGTCATCTTTCAGACAGCAATAACATGCCTGTCTACTGTACTATCCATTGATTTCAAACCTTCAGAAATAGAAGTTGGTGTAGTCACGGTGGAAAACCCTAAATTCAGGTAGGTGTGTTTCTTTGGTTATTTGCAATTAGTTTTACCTTCTTGTGTAATCGTAAATTGAGAAAAAGAGATAAATGTCAGAGGTTGAAGTTCAGGAGGTCTTTTTGCTTGTAACTCTTCAAAACATGTAGATGTAGAAAACATTGTTTAAAAAAATAACAATGTCAAACATTTTAAAAATTAAGGGATTCAGTAAAGTGTTCTCTTTCATTTCTTAAAAGAGTATTTCTTTGGCTGATGATTGAAATGTAGTTACATCTGGTCTAGGTGTGCTCTCATGGTTAGAAGCATAAAAATTTTTCTTTGTACTGGTAGCTGGAGTCCACTTTCAAATCATAGTTGTGCCAACTAATGCAGTAAAGTCTGGTTTATATTATGAAACATTTACAAATTCCTTATTTTTTTAAATCCTTTTCTAAATTTAATCTTTAAATTATTCTTGCTCATCTTGTAAATGTAGCAGTTTTTAACATCTCCAGTATACCGTTAATAGATTATGAATTTGTATGATTTGAAATATTCTATTTAAGTTAAGATTAAAAGATCTTGGATTTAAGAAATCACTGTAGAGATTTGGAAATGGCTGAACTTTTACTTTCTGAGGACACTGCATTCCTATCCAGCATGAAAGCAAGGCACCTGTTATTTCCTCCCTCCCTGGTGGTTGCCTGAGTGTGAATGCAGTGCACTGTGTGCACCAAGATTACTTGGTCAGTGTGTCAAGACAACATCTGGAAGTCTTCCTGCTGAGGGCAGGAATACTTCACATCAGATACAGTGTGCTGGACAGCCTTCCTGAGACACAATGAAGTGTGTGTATAATACGTACAGAGGTGTGTATGTATAATACATGCAGAAGTACGAATGAAATGCGGAAGAAAAATTTTTTGGGATTTTTTTTTAATGCAAAACAACCCTCCAGGTACAGCTTACCTAAAATTTTTGTAAGTTTGACTTGCTGCAGAGGGGCTCAGTTATTTCTGCCTTAAGCTGACATTGTTTTTTTCATTTATTTAAGAAGAAAAAAAGAGAGAAACAGCTAAATGGGTAATAAAGTCCTCTGCTACTTCAGTCTAATTACCTTGTAAGTGGGGATTAAAGGGAGGCTTCAAACCATTGGGTCCTACAGGTGCAGTCTTTTAAATGCTTCCTTTCTAACATTTTTGAAGTTGACACAGTGATGGTGAGTGGTTTTACATTTGGTGGTGTGTGCTTAGAACCACTGAATAGCACAACATTCTTGAGAAAGCAAGCAGGAGCTGTATTACCCCTTTTCTACTCCTGCTCAAGTTTCAAGTGCTAGCTTTCTGCCAAACTTCATTTATTGGTTATCTGTCCTCTTCAGAAAGAGCAGATAACAAGCAGAGGGAGAAGGCTATGAAAACCTGGAGTAATCGTACTACTAATTGCCATACCCATTCTTCTCACCAGATCCTAATTTGAAAATGTATTACTCGTGAAGAATTACCTGTTCTGTTTCCACCATTTGTTACCTCCTTGTCTCTAGTGCCTTTGATTATTCCTTTATTTTTCAAAAACAATTGAAATGTCAGCCTGTGGCCCTGGCAGCAGGGCTCTAAAGGGTAGAAAGATGCATTGCTGTAAAACTTAATTGTGTAGATATTAGGTGGTAATATTGGAACTTAAGGGGAAGAATCATTTATGCTATTTAAGATTTCTTTTTGTTCTTTCAGGATCCTTACAGAAGCAGAGATTGATGTGCACCTTGTAGCTCTGGCAGAGAGAGACTAATTAGCATTCCCATTTCCATTGTCTGTGCTTCTGGCCAGGATGTTTGGTGAAAAGAAAACACTTATTAATGGCTTTAGATTATGGGTGGAAAACAGTGTCGCTGTATGATGTATTTTACTCTGTACAAATAAAACAGAGGTTTTTGAAATATGTCATGTCTCCTTTTAATGCAATTTTTTCAACTTTCAGTTCTATGAAATTCATCCAAATGCCTGATGATTTTGAGTATTCTGTGATGATTGCTTGCCTTTTAATTGTATTTTAAGAGAAATTTTATACTCTCAGCTGTATTTTTCATCTGAGCTATTTGGCTCCTAGTGTAAAGTTATATATCAGTTTTTGTGGTGTGTGTGTCCTGAGATAATTGTTACATTGACATTCATTCAGTCCTTGCCCTGATGTTGAAAGGCTTACCACATTACTTGTTTAATTGTGGGGAAATTAAGAAGATCTTAATATTTGCTCAGGTTTGTATGAGGATATAGGTCAAAAACTGAAGGAAAAAACTTGAGCTGTGAGTTCCAGTCCTTTACACTAATTTATTTGGGGTGCAGGTAGTGAATTTAACAGATGTCTGCTGTAATTAAACAGCTCTGAAGCTAACATTTATTTAGGGAACATATTCTATATGCAGTGTACTTCGGGATTTTGCCTGTTAGTCACCTACCAGGTTTTGAGGCTTTAGTGGGCAGTGCCAGAAAAAATGCTGGGGCTGGATGGGGCCAATAGACAAAATCCATCAATAAGAGTGTCTCTGGGAAGCAATTGCCCTTGCTCCTTCGGAGGTTTTGGGTTAGGAGAGAAGACAACAAAAACTTGAGTGAAGGTAAAGAAAAATGCATTTTTGTTTTGCTTCAATTGAAGGGGTTCCAGCCTCAGCAGCAAAAATGGAGATGATGAAGTTGTGAGGGAGGAGACACTGAGGAGAAAGGGAAAGATTACCAGACAGTTTTAGGTCTTGCACAGACATGTGAGTCTTCTTGAAAGAGTGCCAAGCTAATACAACTTAGTTCCTTACCTTCGTTGCTCTGCTATGCTCTTCCCATATTGGCTCTAATTATTCCAAAATTCTCCTTGATTTTTTTTCAAGACCTTTGGGGAAGGCCTCATAAGTCATCAGAAAATGGAATTGTGTAATTTTTTTCTTTGTGCTTTACACTTAAAGCTCCTTGAATGTGTATTTTTCAAGCTCACTGTTGTAAAGAAGATGCAATTCTGTGTTAGGTGGTTTTAATAAAAGACAGTACTAACCGTATGTGATAACTCAGTTGAGGAGATTCAGATATACTGTGAATTGTTGACTTCACAAAGCTTCTTGAATTTTCATTCATGCTTCTGTGCTTCCCTCATGTCAGATAGTGTAGTACAGATGATAAAATGAAGCACTCCTGCTTACGGTTTTGGGTTGGTTATCTGAGGATTCTGTGTGGCTTTGTGAAACTGTTGGCACATTTGTGCAACTAATGACATGTTTAGAAAGGTGTGTTGTTTCTGAAACCCCCTAGGACCTTTCTTCCTAATACTCCAGTTGTATAACAACCTGGAGTTTGAATAGACTTAGGTCATCATTTATTGTGCCATAAAATATAATCCCCTGATAATTTGTTCTTATCAGCTTTAATAATGTATAGAAAACTTCACTAATGACTTCTTGAACTTCCTTGAAAATTAAAAGGAAGAGGACAATCTGGGAGCTGTATGACAAGCTCATTTGCATAGTATTTAGTATCAAAACTCCCTGCAATTCCTGTAATTCTAAATTTTGGAGCTTGTATGGCATTGTATAACTCAGGTGATGGTTCTGAGAGGAGTGGGTGTTTGTTCATACCTTGTTTTCCATGTCTGTTTTGCGATGCAGAACATCCCATCTTGTGTTCAGAGATGAGAAAATAAGCTGTCTACAATATATTAGCTATAAATGTTGCTCTTAATAAGCAAAGTTAAAATTGCAGCAACTGAAATATTTTTGCTAGTGTTTTCCCTGCAGTGAAAATTCATAGTTTTCTTTTCGAACTGGTAATGGGGATTTTTCTTTTTCAGTCGAAGCTTTTTGTTGTTGAAGATAAGACAGTAATGCAGGTGGGGATACCTGACCAAATGGGAAAACCCCGTGTGTTACACGTAACGCATAATTACATTTTTCACACCCTGGAGCAGATAGCACCTGCAACCAAACTACCAGCCATAGCTGGTGTTGAGCTGGACCTGTTTATCACCTTCTGTTCCAAACCTGGCACTTACAAAGAAACGAGAGTATGTGTAGTACAATCCTAACACTTCTAGTTCGAGTAGAGCTTAACAAGAGTGATACCAGACTTGGGATAGCTCCACATCTTTGTGGTTTGTGGTGCTAGTGCTGGAAACTGATAGATCTAGTTACAGTGTGAATGTATGAGTAGTTAAACAGGAATAGGATCAAGTTTTATTTGCATACTAGACCTAGATCAGTGTTACCTATACTAAATTTGGACTGGCTCTGCACAGCATTGTAACTGTGTCCACATTACATTACCAGTGTTCTTTATCTGTGGTGTAGTGTAGAGATGTAAATGCAAAGTACATGCAGTCAGCTTAGGTAAATCTGTATTAACTGAATGCTGAAAATCATCTGGATTTCTTATGTAACCTTCCTGCCCCACTCTTCCCTCCCCCCACAACAAAAGAGGGTCCCAGAAGCAACAATGATATGTATTACAGACAGAAATAGCTCAATGGGGAATTTTAACAGAAATCGCATGTGTGTCATCAGGAGCTGTGTATCATCCTTAAAACGAAGATGTTCATAGAATAACCTGAGTTGGAAGGGACTTACAACAATCATCAGCGTCCAACTCCTGGCCCTCCATACTACAGCCCCAAGAATCACACCGTGTTGCCTGAGAGTGTTGTCCAAACACTTCTTTAACTCTGTCAGGCTTGGTGCTGTGACCACTTCCCTGGGGAGCCTGTTCCAGTGCCCAACCACCCTCTGGATGAAAAAAACGTTTTTGTAATACCCAACCTAAACCTCCCCTGACACAACTTCAAGCCATTCCCCTGGATCCTGTCACTAGTCATCACACAGAAGAGACCAGTGCCTGCCCTCCTCTTCCCCTCAGGAGCAAGTTGTAGACTGCAGTGAGGTCTCCCCTCAGTCCCCTCCTCTCCAGGCCGAATAGACCAAGTGGCCTCAGCCTCTCCTCACATGGCTTCCCCTCAAGAACCTTCACCATCTTCGTTGCCTTCCTTTGGATGCTCTCTAAGAGCTTAATATCTTTCTTATATTGTGGCACCCAACACTGCACACAATATTCAAGATGAGGCTGCATCAGTGCAGAGCAGGACAATCCCCATCCCAGGTGCAGAATCCAGCACTTTCCCTTGTTAAACTTCATATGGTTGGTGATTGCCCAGTTCTCTGATTTGTCGAGGTCTCTCTGCAGGGCCTCCCTGCCTTTGAGGGAGTCAACAGCTCCTCCCAGTTTGGTATCACTGGCAAGTTTATTATACCCTGAAGTCCTGCATCCAGGTCATTTATGAAGATGCTGACGAGCACATGGCCTGCAGAACCCCAGTATTGACAGGTCACCAGTGTGGTGTTACTCCATTCACTATTGCCCTCTATGCTCAACCTATGAGCCAATTGCTTACCCACCATGTGATGTGTTTATCCAGCTGTGTACTGGACATTTTGTCCAGAAGGATCCTGTGACAGACAGTATTGAAAGCTTTACTGAAATCCAAAAAGATTACATCAGCTAGCTTCCCTTGATCAGCTAGGTGGATTACCTTGGCATAAAAGGAAATCAGAGGACTTTCCCTTCATGAAGCCATGCTGGCTGTGACCAATGACTTCATCCTTCAAGGTGTTTTTCAATACCTCAGAGAATATTCTTCTCTGTAATTTTACTAGTCACTGAAGTGAGACTGACAGGCTTTTAGTTTTCAGGGTTTTCCTTCTTGCCCTCTTTGCAAATTGGGACATCCATCTTTCAGTCAACTGGAATGTCTCCAGATTCCCAAGACTATTCATCCAGAGAGGCCTCATAATGACATCAGACATCTTTATGAGTATTGTCACATCAGGCCCCACAGACTCAGAAGGGATCCAGCTGAAGCGGAAGATCCGACACAAGTTCAGGGTCGACTGGGAGTTTCTAATTCTCACAGCCCCATAAACCTCCAACTCAGGACACTGGGACCCTCTTAGCCTGTCTTTGGTGTTGAAGACAGAGGTAAGGAAGGTACTAAACATTTCTGCTTTTTCTATGTCCTTGTTTGTGAGGTAATCATCCTTATCCTCTAATAAGGATGTTGTAAGGCTGATGTTATTTCTGCACTGCCTTTTCCTGATAATGTATTTTTAAAAACTCCTTGTTGTCCCCCACATTTCTGGCCAGCTTCAACTCCAGTTGAGCTTTGGTGCACAAATATTCTCCCTACAGTGGCAAGCAGCATCTCTGAATTCTTCCCATGACACTTGACCTTGCTTTGACTGGGCATACACCTTCCTTTTTTTGCCTTAACTCCAAGAGAAGATTCCTGTTCAGCCAAGTCAGCCTTCTGCCTCGTCTACTTGACTTCCGACATTTTGGAAGTGCCTGCTCCTGTGCCCTTAGTATAACAGAATAACAGATTATTCTGAGTTAGAAGGGACCCACAAGAATCATCAAGTCCGACTCTTAAGCGAATGCTCATATGGGGTTCAAACACACAACCTTGGTGTTATTAGCACCATGCTCTGACCAACTGAGCTAATCTCAGGGTAAAGGAAAAAAAGTAACCAGCACTGATGGACCCCAGCGCCTTCAAAAAGGTTTTCCCAGGGGACCTAATCAATTAGTTTCCCGAGAAGCTTGAATTCTGGTCTCCTCATGTCCAGAGCTGAGATTTTGCTGGCACTTTTCCTCCTGTCAAAAGAGATTTTAAACTCAATTGCTCTATAGTCGCTGTGGCCAAGAAGGTCACCAATCACCACTGCACTCATGAGACTCTCTTACCAGGCAACAATCATGTTATAAGGCAGGCAGTAGTGAACCTCTCTAGAATTTCAGGTACTTAAGAGCAACGTGGTACTGAATCAAGTTGTAATGCGTAATGTTTGGCCATATATTTTCACTGTAAAGCTGATGACATTCTAAGGACAGAGTGATAGATGGGGAGTTTAGGTG